CGTTCATATTATTGTCTATAACATTATGTAAACATTACCTGGGGTATGATCGAAACTAATGTTTCTATATAAGCTAGTATTAAGTATATGACCCAAAAATGAAAGAATCTAAATCTCGCTATTTAAAATAAATCCATCTAGACGAGAATATTAAAAGTTTTATTCTAAACTTGAATAATATATCTGTATCACCCAATAACACATTCTACAGTAGATATCGCTTGTGTGATAACTGTCATTTTCTACTGAGCGATATCTGGCTTAACGTGGATTTGATTGGTCAATTAAAAAGGATGGAAAGAGTTAGGTGATAAATAAAATCTTCTACTCGTTTTTTTATATCAAAAAATATCAACACTTGTCGATTAAGTAAAAAAGACTTGGCAAAGCCTCATTTCTTTTTACATCATAGACTTGTGTTGATATATTTTGAAATCAAAAAAGATGCATAGGAGATTCTCTATATGTTGTTATCGGGAACACGTTGATTTAGAATTACCCTTTCCTTCTCAGTCATTGAAGAAATGTACAGTTCAATCACAGATAACGTTGTCACAGACTCAGTTAGGTCTACCTCAACGACAATTTATTATAAAAACAATATACGTAGTTTTACTATTATAATTCATCGTCAATGTGTTTAGTGCAATTGCTAACTTGACCGATAATTTGGTAATAGATAATGGTTAGCTTGACCTATAAGTTGCTAATAGATAATGGTTACCTTAATCTATAAGTTGCTTATAGATAATAGTCAGCTTGGCCTATAGGTTGCTTATAGATAAGAGAGAGAGAGAGAGAGAGAGAGAGAGAGTTTAACGTCCACTCGACACAAACTAGGTAATTTCTTGACAATTATATTTCAATAAATCGCTTGGGCGTAGGAGTCTTTAGCAGTGGGAGGAAACCGGACCCGGAAAAAACCCACGAGGTTGGACAGGCGACCCTACTCCTTATCTCGTAACCACGCCAGTTAACTCAATGACAGACCTTATGATACAGCGCGCATACGCTAAACATTCAACCATCGAACCCACCTCTAAGAGGTGGAATATAAGTGTAACCTTGAGATAAGCAATTTTATTGGTTGATGCTTTGAGACACGATAACTTTAACTTTTGTGAACACTCTACAGACTAAATTTATCATCTGATTGTTTTGAAATTGATATATGTTGTTTGCATTAGTGAGATGAAGACGCCTATTTAATTTCAATAACTTCCGTTAATGTCTTCTGGAGTTATGGCCCTTGTTTCACTTTGTTGCACCTTGTGAACGCTCTAACGACAAAAGTTATCAACCGATCTGTATGAAATTTATATGCGTCATTTAAATTAGTAAAACAAAGAAGCCTATTGAATATCAGCAATTTCCGTTAATTACATCTAGAGTTATGGCCCATGTTTCACATTGTTGAATCTTGCGAACACTCTAATGACAACAGTTATCATCCGATATGTTTGACATTGCTATGCATCATTTAAATAGCCTATTGAATTTCAGCAATTTCCGTTGATTACGCTGTGAGTTATGGCCCTTGTTTCACTTTGTTGTACCTTGTGAATGCTTTATCGACAAAAGTTATTATCTGATCTGTATGAAATTTATATGTATCGTTTAAATTAGAAAAACGAACAAGCCTATTGAGTTTCAGCAAATTTCCGTTGATTACATCTAGAGTTATGGCCCTTGTTTAGCTTTGTTGAATCTTGTGAACGCTTGAACGACAAAAGTTATCACTTAATCTGTATGAAATTCATATGCATCATTTAAATTAGTGAAATGAAGAAGCCTATTGATTGTCAGCAATTTCCGTCAATTACTTCTAGAGTTATGGCCCTTGTTTTACTTTGTTGAACCTTGTGAACGTTCGAACGACAAAAGTTATCATCTGATCTGTATGAAATTTATATGCATTATTTGAATTAGTAAAACGAAAAAGCCTGTCGAATTTCAACAATTTCTGTAGATTACTTCCAGAGTTACGACCCTTGTTTTAGTTTTTAGAACCTTGTGAACCCCCAAACGACGAAAATTATAATGCCATCTGTATGAAATTGTCTATTAACTTCCCCTAATTATCGACAAAAGAATAAATATGCGACAACCCTTGTCGACTGCCCGATCGACTTAGCTGCTGTGGGCGTATGTTTGGTTGCCTGCCAACCTATCTTTAATTGAGGTAGAATGTTTAAACTTGGTTAATGGCTTGGCTGAGTTCAATGATTAACATTTCCCGATAAAGCTAAGCAGAGCTAAGCAATTTCTTTGACGTTGATGAAAATTAGTTGATAATCGGTTTGATTGCTCGATACTTTTGAAAAAGATAAACGTGCTTTTAATTAATATGTGTCATCTATTTATTTCGGAATTTCGGCGTAGGACATCAGCCTCACTTGGCTTGTTTACGCAATATAACATTAGTGAAAACATCGTAATTAAGTCAAAAATAGCAAACGGGGTTTAACATTGTGCTTGCAAAATTATTACTAAGCATTGACACGAAGACCGAACTTGACCGTACCCTACGAAGTGATATCAAAGATTATTTTCACATCCGCAACCTAGACTATTGGAACCCACGTACGCATGTCTTATCATGAGATATCAATTAGATTTGACAGGAAGGAAAAGTGTTGATGTTACTTCACCTTGAATCCTTAACTTGAAAGGGATTACATCGGAATTTGAAACGAGATAAGATGACCATGCATATGAGCATGAAGGGAGATATTTGGAGCTAAATTTTCAATTTTATAGGAGTTATTGTCCTTTGAAACATCCATAGGGGTACGAGCCAGGGGGACGGAGGGCAATCTGACTTTTCGGGCAGACGGGTAAAGTGAAAAAAATTTTTTTATTTCATCTACATTTCTTTTAATTGAATACCACTAATTTGTACTGAATTGACTATGGATTAAAACATTTTGTCTGGAGTCACTCTACTTTGTGCGAAATTTTTTAGGGCATCAATTATTATTTGTGAATGCAGCTGCAACAGTCTGGAGGTTTGAATTCAGATCGGCATAGAGTGGGATTTCGGTTACAAAACCATTGGACAACTTTGGAGTTGCTTAACTCACGGGCTAGAATAGCAGAAAAACGCATTTGCGGCGGTTAAATTTTCAAAAGTTTCTCCGGGAGGTGGGGGGGGGGGAGGCGAGGCCCCCATACCCTGCGACGATTGTTTGGTTGTTTGGGATTCGGGTCAGTCAGGTAGTCAATATTGGATCACATTAAAGAAACTGTATTCACGGGCTGGAGTCGCAGGAAAACGCGTTTTAAAAATTTTCTCCCAACGGTCCCGTCTTCGTGGACTGTACCCTGCGACGATTGTTTTTTTGTTTGGAATTCGAGTCAGCTACCTTAATTAGGCTATATTAGACCACTTTGAAGTTGCTTTGTTCACCGGCTGAAATAGCAGGAAAACGCGTTTGCGACCGTCAAATATTCCAAATATAGACATTCCGAACTTCGTAGACCGGCCACGACAGTTTTCGACAAAGAAAGATGTTCTTGGTCGAGCGACGAACTGCTACGAACAATAGGAATAAGTAAGAATCATTCACATCTTCAAGAACCGTCTACGATATATCTACAAATCGGAAAAAGTTTTGGAATTGTGACAATTCGTGACATTTGTAGCCCACGTGAGAGCCAGGCATAACGTCGTCACATGAGTAAAAATAAAATAGATATTTGAGTAACTTCCTTGTTGAATAAGTATGCCAATAATAATATATAATATAAAGAAGACGGTGTGTGAAATTGTATACGTATGTATAACTTCAACGATAAATATATGGATCGTGTAATTCATTATTTATAAATTTGGATCATGACGTGACTTTTATCTAGTTCGTTCGTTCGTTCCTAGAGTTTTACGTCCACTTCCACCAGGGATGATATCGGAGACAAGGCCTATCTCGAGATACCAGATAAAGTTATACATTAAGTGGTACAATAATGCATAGGCGTACGGGTTCGATGAATGTTAAGAGAGGGTGGGGGGGGGCTAAAATGCCCGAAAAAATTTGGAGTTACAGACAGCGGTACCGGTCGTCTGCGAGAGGCGAAGGAGTGGAGCGTACCGTGTAGGATACACGCCCCGCAGACCGCAAACGCGTTTTTCTGCACTACACAGTGGTCTAAAATAGCCTTAATGGGCCGCCGTGAGGAAATTTGGAAAATTTAACTGCCGCAAACGCGTTTTCCTTCTATTCCAGTCCGCGAATACAGAACGTTCATTGTGATCCAATATAGCCTACCTTAGGTGACTTACCTGAATCCTAAATCCCAAACAACCAAGCAATCATTGCGAGATATGGGGGCCCCGCGCTTCCTGAGAAAATTTTGAAAATTTAACATCCGCAAATGCGCTTTTCTGCTATTCTAGCCCTTGAATTAAGCAACCAAAGTTTCTAATTCAGTTCGCAACCGAAATCTCACTCTATGCTCACCTGAAGTCCAACAAACCAATCAGACTGCTGCAGCTGCATTCACAAATAATAATCGATACCAGCAAAATGTTTTAATCCATAGTCAATTCAGTACAAATTCGTGGTATTCAATTCAAGGGAAAGTAAAATAGTGTTTTATAAGATTTCGGGCACTTTTTTTTGCCAACTAGATGAAATAATAATTTTTGTTTTCACTTTCCAAGTTATAGGGACAGCTCCCCTCTCCCACACCCGGCTAGTACTCCTATGGGCTCATTAACTTAAACCAAAACCTTTTCATGCCCCTGCAACCCTTATTACCTGGACCTGTCTACTAACCTTGATTGACTTTTTATGGCAAATTTAACACGTAAACATTAGTCTGCGATATCAGACAAGACGGAAGTGGACGTTCACCCCCTAGAAGTAGTAGTAGTTCATTATTCATGTATTTGGAGGAGGGGTTAACAAATTATAAACATAGGAAGATACACAACTCTTTTATACCGCCATTCTTTATGGACTGTAATCATATCTTTTTATTCTCTTTATGTTTTTCAGCCTATCTAAAAGATGCCCATTTAAATGATGTTGGAGGGTATATATTTGCTGGTGTTGCGATGATTGTTGGTGGTTTGTTATTTTATACGATGCCGTATTTTGAGAGACACCCTTCTAATCAGGAAATACTACAGAAACAAAACAGTTCTTGCAGTGCACACATGTCAGAAGCCGCTGCTTTACTTGACCTTGAACTATCTGAGGCCTTGACCTCTAAGCCTTTAAACAATCTACAATGTATTATGTCACATTCCAAACTAAAACCCAACTGTAAGGACGGGAATAAAATTCAATTACAGTGTTATATTCAACACAAAGAAAGGGAAAAACCCAAACAATTGGTTCTGTCAAAAATAGCTGAGGAACGTGACGGAACCCGTATTAATGAAATGACGCATAATAACAAGATGGCGGACTGTATGACCAATAAAAACGAGTTTTCGGAATCAGCAACTGATGGTCCATCAGACAGCACTTTCTCTAATAATACTGACAAATCCAGTAGTAAAGACAGTAACTCGGTCAAAACCAACGATAGCAAAAAAAGCAAGAAAAACGACGTTAGGATTGACCTTTTTGACCCGCCTAGCCAGGAAAAGGAGTCGACGGCCACGGTTTCGTATGACAGTGATTTGTATATAAATCTGTGTGAAGCTCAAGTATGAATATGGTTTGAAATTGAATACATTCTTGACTAGCAATTTGTTAATGAATGACAGCGATTTTTATTGATGTTTTATAAAGTGCGACCTGGATATAAACTAACTATAACGAACATTTAATCTTAAGTGTGTGATGTTGATGTTTTTAATATTCGTTGTGAGGCCTGTTTTCTTGATCTTGAATACCTGAAAACATTCGTTTACCTCTCCACTGGTATAACACGGGTTTTAAATCGAATCTTGTTTATCTCTTCTAGTGCTTGTATTGTTTGCTTCTATAGTAGTTCTGACGTAAGTAATTTCAAAGAATGATACAGTGCTATTCAAATAAACTTGATGTAGATATAAGAAACGGTGACACATTAGTATGGGTGATAAAACTATTTAAACTGTCGTCTTGGAACAAAACAATGCCAGTGGCACCAAAGTCTCGTACATGTATCACATATCGAACAACTACTTTGGAGCCCAGTGCTATCGTAACTAAACCCATCAAGAAAAATTTTATTGCGGGTTGGGTATGGGGTCATGTACGCCATGAGTACGTTAGCATAATGTTTGCCTTGATGTTATGATCTTGATTTAAAAGTGGATCATATAACATTACACGGAGTCCACATAGAAAAGAATACAAGGATTAGCTGAGAAATAAACCACGGAAAGGGATTTATTGGTGTGTGGCATATATATATATATATATTTCAGGATTAACATTAATTGCATATAGGATGTATAGGATTATCCGCCCCTGTCTAGATTTTAGACACCTTGGACAAAAGTCTAGCAAGATGTTTGCAACAAAGGCAAACACGAAGACCATATAAATAACACATAATAAACTGAAAATGGAGACGATTAAGACTGCACTCATCCAAAGTATGGATCATTTACCCAACTAGACTAATGTGTGAAACTTTCGAATGAAGAGATAAACTATTGTGCTTTTTTGGATAAGGAGCGTGGAATGTATTGAATCCCGGGCTTATGTTTATAGTTTATTTGACAGTCACGACCTTGTATGACAATGAATAATGGTCCGTACTGTTTACTTTATGAGTTAAAGCCAGGTATTTCAAAAGACATAATATTAAGATCACCCATACATGTGTACCCAATTCTTATATACATTTTACATGGTAAATTTGATTTGTATTTAATACACAATAGATGCCTTTTGCAGTTTGCTGTTAAGATGAGATAGACCTATACTCATTCCAAATATATAGCATATAATTTATTACCTGTCAACATAATCAACTAAATACTGCGACCTCTAACTGCTGTTCTCTCACATATTTTTGTATTGAAACCTTTGTACAAATGACATGTCATACTTTTGTTATCCTATGTTATCAATGAAAGATACTTTTCCCCAAATACTACAGTTAAAACAATGGTACACATAAAGAAGAAAGGAGGGGTATAAATAAAGTCATTACCACTTTAATATACTCATATTAAATAATATCTACGTATACGTATAACTTCCGTTTTCACATACATAACTTCCGTTTTCGTATCTCCCCATAATGTCAGCATAAAACTATTGGTATTTATAGTGGTGTTTTGCGGGGAAAAGGGCAGGGAAATGATAACAAACTGTCCTTTTTGTGGTAAAAGTACATGTGATGGTATTTTTCTAATAAGCTACAATGTGTTCACCATAACTTTAAAAATAAATAAAAATAATTACATTTTAATCAAGTACATGCTGGTCATGTTTACTCTTATGTGTTGTTTTTAATGCGTGGTATTGTCCGTTATATAATTAGATAGTAAGAAACTTAGCTTTATCTACTTGGCTTGTGCTGGCTTTTCCTGTAACATCCTCCGCGAAGACCACTAAGCTTATTAAAGGTCATCATATATTAACATTATATAAGAAGATTATGTTACGTACTAACATATACATGTTGCTCGTCATATCATTCGACCACTCGATAACAAACATAATAGCTTTATCACCTTACATCAGAAACAAGAAATTGCTAAGATTTACACTTACCCCTCGTAAATCCCCATTTTCCTGTTGTTCTTAATACCAGATTACATCTTCTAGGAAAATAATTTTGTGGAAATAATCTTATGCAAGAAAAAGATAATGTAAAGTATCTGATCGACAATAAATTGGAAAGTTTAAACAGTTTGTCGGTATAAAATGGTTAGAATATTGTCTTAGCATGTATCTATATAAATACTTTAGATGGTGAATTCGGATCTGTCCATAATTTTGTAAAATGACCGTAACAACCCTCCTTTTACCATTCTTTTATTCCTAATTCCAAATTAAAGTGTTTTTCTACAGAAAATGTTCATATTTTATTGCAGATACAATTAATGAGGATGCTTCATTTATATAAAACTGTTTTAAGGCGAATAAGTTGTACATTTGAGTGTGCTAATGTAATTATTTTGTTCATAACTTTGTGAGTAAAAAGTGATAATGATAATCGGTGTTTATAATAATTTGAAGCCTGTTGACTTCTGGACATGTACGGAAATAGTCATCAGCCCGTTATATTATAGGTGGTCGACATAGCTTCCTAACGATATTATGTGTCACATTGCTCCATAACTAGTTAAACTATTGGACTATTGAACACTCAGTTTATTGATAATTAGGCCATTTTTGTACATCTACCACTTCTGTTGCGATTACTTTGTACTGTCCTGTTTAATGTATGAAAAATACTGATTGTGTAGTTTGCAATTTAGGAATATAAGTGCAATTCGTAATTAGTATATGTTGTTCAAATCTGACGAGAAGGGAACAAAAATCACATAACACCAACTTTTCTGTGAAACACGATTTGCAAATTTAAAATAGTACAGCCTCGTATTAAAGGACAATACGCACTAGATGGCATTGGTTATGATTTTAACATAGAGAGCAATGCTATATTTTGTCCTGTTCAGCTACACAAAAAAAAAATATGTAAAACAACACTTTTATGAGAAAAGTGTCACGGTCGTGTGCTTTATCCTTTACCATCAGATGGTAGGATTGGACGGGCATTCAAAGCGCGAGATACTGATATAGACATATGTGATATCACAATTAATGCTTTGCATCAATAAGATTGAATCACAATGTGATCCTATTATATTAATTCATAATAAAAATTGACGCCAAACAGGGTGTTGGATTACTCTCTGTAAAAAGATCAGTGTGTATGTATGCCTACGTAATTTGGAGACGATGATGGCATCATGCATGGTCAACTGCCAATTTCCTTAACAGGTTCCTGGCAAACCCCCTCCTGCAAAACTTCCTGGATCCGCCAATGATGGATTCCTAAGCACATTTTGAAGATTAGGGAACTGACGCAAAAAAGGATCTCAATTAATAGTGACTGAAGCAGAGAGCTGTAACAGCTACACAAACGACTTTCAGCTCTCCCTCTTATTTGACTGTGAGAGAATCTAAGTTTCGAAACTGAATGTTCATAAGAATAAATTAATTACCACGAGAAAAGAAAAAAAAGCATTAATTGCATTACCTAGTTTTGATACTTTTTGTGCTTACTTTTAGTCTGGTAAAAATAAACTAAGTATTTAAAGAGGCACTATGTAAGGTTCATCCTCGGTACACCCAGTGGTCTCAATGAGAAGGTAAACAATGAGGCTAAGACTGGTTTGTAAACTGTTTTATGATTGGTTCGTAGAATCAAGCTACGATTAAGGACAGATAATTTGAATATGTGAATACCGATGAATGAACCCAGGGTATAGTGGAGTAGAACAGAATGGCACCACTGTCGATACCGAGGATGTGTAAGATTTAGATAAAGAGCTGGCCGTTCTTGCTATAATTGTATACTCAGCCAAATTAAAAACTTGACACTGATGAATTTCAACAATTTTTTTTTTCGTGTAAGTAAAATAAATTTTAAAGTGTTTCTAACGATAGTAAGTAGTAAGAAGCCTTTAATTTCATAAAATTGTAAAGTCACGTGGATCATGTGACTTTTGAGCATATAAAGATGAAAAACCTGAAAAACACGCGCAAACACAAACTCGTGAGGTCAATCGATGCAAGTTTGCTTAAACTGAACACGCACACGTCACTTGAACTGGAAAAACAAATTAAAATTGTTATTTTCGTCTTTGTTAGAAAATGCCGCGCCTTTCAAATGTAGAACGTCTACGTGCTATAGGTAGGCTCTATTCTCGTCAGTCTGTGGTCACTGTTGCAAGAGCCTTTAATTGTTCACGCCAGACAATAATTAATCTTAGAATGAGAGTGCTTCAAACTGGAACTATTGCCGACCGCCCAAGGGCGGGAGCGCCACGTGTGACGTCACTCCAGGAAGATCAAGCAATACGATTACGTCATCTTAGAAACAGATTTGTCACTGCAACCTCCACAAGTAGAGAGATGTTTGGTGGATGGGTTACTGCACAAACTGTTCGAAATTGCTTGCAGGCTGCTGGTTTTCGAGCTCGGAGGCCCTATAATGGACCAATATTGACACCTCTTCATCGCCGTAACCGACTTGTGTCGGCCACAAGACACATAAGATTTACTCAAAGACAGTGGAATTCGGTTGTCTTTAGTGACGAATCTCGATTCACTTTAAGATTTGCCGATGGCAGGGCCCGAGTGTACCGCAGACGAGGTGAACGTTACGCTCAAGTATGCGTCAAGTGGCGGCAGCGTCATGGTTTGGGGTTCTTTTTGTGCACATGGACGTTCTCCTCTTGTTATTTCCAAGGGAACTTAAATGCTGTCCAGTACTGGGATCAGATTTTGCAACCTGTTCTTCTTCCGTTTATGCAGAGACATGGGCCTGGACTAACGTTTCAACAAGACAATGCTCGACCCCATACAGCAATTGCTACCCAGAATTTAAGAAATACCGGTGTCCAAGTCCTGGATTGGCCGTCGCTTAGCCCCGACCTTAATCCTATTCAACACACCTGGGTCGACGTGTTCGTCAGCAAGTGAATCCACCACTGACGTTGCAGGACCTTCAACATGCTCTTGCTGAGCAGTGGCGACGTCTTCCTCGGGTAGTGTTTACTAATGTTCTGAGATCCATGAGAAGACGTTGTGTGGCAGTACGAGACGCTAGAGGAGGCCACAACCGTTACTAAACACTTTATTCCGATTGTTCTCCAAGTCTGTGAATTTCATTTTGGGGGGTACTGTGACATCACGAACGTTATCAATGTCAAGGACTTTCGGCGAGACGTATTCTTGCCTTCTGTTGATGTCATGGTCGTCTGTGCACAACATAACACTAAAATAGTTGCCTTAAACCAAATATTAAAAATCTAGTCCCAAAAATCCCGAGTGTCAAGTTTTTAATTTGGCTGAGTATAGTTTAAAACCAGATAAGAAATTAATATATTGAAGTTTGACCAAATGTAGCGTAGATTATTATTGTAGCAGAGGTACTCGAATATCTATGTTATCGTAAAACTTTTAAATGACCGCGGTGTTTTAATGTACTTTAAATGGTTGGATTATGGACTTATAATATTAATACAATTTTATATAATAATGTATCTGATATTTGAAACAAGAAAAAACACCTGCAATAGGCAGATTAAGCTCTTACATAATGCATCTTTAAAAGACATACATACTACATTATCTGCCATTTCGTTTTACCTCCTAACAGGGCACTGCATGGATGGTGTATGCACGTCTTCATTATCCCGTGTGGTGCAGAAACGAATGAACCTAACCCACTCCAATTGTATGCATTTCGACGTGCGCTTTAAGCTGCAATTAGGCCATCTTTATTTATCACATATTACATTTGCATTCATTTCCAATCCGACTTGTTAATAGTGAAGCTGATAATCTCTTGTGATTTGCATAAAATGTACAAATTACGAATTGCATTTGCATTCCAAGCCTTGAAACCAGACAATCTGTATTTATCATACATTCATACAGTACAACAAAACTGGATAGGTATATGGACTTCTGAAATGAGAACTTCTATGGGGTATTTTAAACAGAGTAACCATACCCTACCTCATACAAGAAATAGATCACTAAATATATGGAGACTGGTATCATTCCCGAAGAAAGACCATAATAACAATGTTTACAGCTGATTTGTGTAGTTATATTACAATAACAACTCCACAAATTACTAGGCTGTAGAATGATTAGATTTCTTTTAATTTAAAAATTAAACGAGCTTACCTTCAGGGAAGTGAAGTTTGATTGTAATTCTACGAGTCATATACTTTTTAAACCAGCAGCTGCCAGGCAGGATACGCCCACATTTTCGAGAGATGGATAGAGAACAAGCTAAAAAGAAAGTGATTTTTCGTACAATCAGGGGCCATAATTCACGAAGTTACGGTCCGATATGCGCGAATATCAAAAGGAACCGAGATCTTTGGGTTATAAACTTACATTTCAAGTTTCAACAAAATCGGATAAAAATTGTGACCTCTATAGGGTCCACAACCTTGATATATACCATATTTTTACGCTATTTGAGAACGAAGGGCGGCCATTTTTTCTGTCAGTTTTGGGCCGATATTCACAAAATTCGAACTCAGCCGCCCTTAGGGTGTAACAGTGATATAATAATACGTTTTTTTAAATCGGATAAAAATTATGACCTCTATAGGGTCCACAAGCTAAAAACGCGATTTTTCGTACAATCAGGGGCCATAATTCAGGAAGTTACGGTCCGATATGCGCGAATATCGAAAGGAACCACGATCTCTGGGTTATAAACTTACGTTTCAAGTTTCAACAAAATCCGATAAAAATTGTGACCTCTATAGGGTCCACAACCTTGATATACCATATTTTTACGCTATTTGAGAACGAGGGGCGGCCATTTTGTCTGTCAGTTCTCACGAAATTCAAACTCAGCCGTCCTTAGGGTGTAACCGTGATATAATAATACGTTTTTTAAATCAGATAAAAATTATGACCTCTATAGCGTCCACAAGCTAAAAACGCGATGTTTCGTACAACCAGAGGCCATAATTCAGGAAGTTACGTTCCGATATGCGCGAATATCGACAGGAACCGAGATCTTTGGGTTATAATCATACATTTCAAGTTTAAACTAAATCGATAAAAATTGTGACCTCTACAGTGTTCACAAGCTAAAAACGTGATTTTTCTTACAATCAGGGGCCATAATCCATGCAGTTACAGTCCGATACATGCCAATATCGAAAGGAACCGAGATCTTAGGGTGATAAACCTAAATTTCAAGTTTCATTGAAATCGGATCAAAATTGTGACCTGTAGACTGTTCACAAACAATTCTGGTCGGACGTCCGGACGGACGGACGGACAGGGGCGACGACAATATACGTCCACATGAAAATGTGGGCGTATAAAAAAAGTAGGGGATATTCAGAAACAATACAAAACTGCGAAAATGCACTGCTGTTTTTGTTAGAGGTAACCAGTGTATATTAATAACTGGCCAATTGCCTACACATGAACATAAACAGTACA